GCTCAGCCTCTGTTGCTATAGCAACCTGGCTGCATGCGCTCTCACCCCATCAAGTTTGCGTGGTTATAGGAGAACGACAGACTTTCCGTGTGTGTCTGCATCAGGATATTTTTTGTACTCCGCCATGCCATCGGTTTCTTTAAAAATCGTCTAGCTCATTCTCACTGTTCTCGTTAAGTCACTGACGGTTTAATCCACCACTGGATTCCCACAGTTTCTGGCAAGCTGTGGATTTTTTTTACTATCAGTATGTCTTAAAGGCCTCCACACCCAGAGGCTCTAATTTGTTTGGAAACACAGTACTATTGATTACCTGATTTAATCACGGCTGTTTGGAAAAGTCCTATTAGTTAGTGCCCTCAAGCTTATCGCACTGAAATATAGATTGTCAGTCAATCAATCTACATTATTACAGCAACCAAAGTAAGGTGTGCAGTGTGTATTTAATTATGAAAAGATACATAGATCTTCATTGTTTGGGATAGATGCTCTTGTAAACCTCTGTTTGTCTTTGATGGCCCTGTTACAGAGGGTGGAGCAAGTGTCGGTATTTTAATTTTCATTGTTGAGCGCAGGGCCAGCTCTCTCCTTATATGATGTCGTTCACAACTGCTAATATAAAACAACGCGTGAATCTCAGATTTAGTCCCGTAAACAGTTTAGCTCTGCAGGAGTGTAGGAATGAGCTACGACCAAGTAGCTCATTCCTTTAGACTGCAAAAGTCAGTAAACCACTTTGTTTTAAGCAGTTTAGTCTAGTAAGTTTAAAAGAATATGTATCTGGCTTTGATTTATTGCTGCAGTTAAAAGGTCAAAAATTGTCTGGGATCAAACTACATCAAAACTGTTTCTTTTATGTTAACATTTTTGCACAGAATAAGTAAAACAAGTAATGGCTCTTTCCAGACAAGCTTAGCTGTAGACTCAAACCCTTTGTCAGCCAAGAGCTTTATTGAATATTTCTCTTAGTCTAGGGCAAGGCATGTCTGGGAAACTAGCTTACAGTGCATTTGTCAGTGAGATGTAGGCTTTTCCCCTTTGTTGCGTTAGCTGCTTCAACCTTCATGCAATGCTGAGTTAACCATTTCCTGGTTCCAGCGTTATCCACTGAAATATGAGTTTTATCAACATTCCCGTTCAATTCTTTGCAAGATAATGAGTCAGATTATTTGGAACTATTCCTTTAAGCATGCCAACTAAAGACTTACTGTAACACAAGTTTCTCAGTTATGGTGGTGTTTTTTTTAGGTGTGGATGTGTCATCCATGCATGCCATGAAGATTCAGCGACCCAGCACCATGCTCTCTGATGTTAGACAGCTTGTAGCCTCAGGGGGAAGCCTCAATCAGCCCAATGAAGAAGGAATTACTCTGGTATGTAAAAGCACACATGTGTTAGGATGTAAAAGCTTTCTGTTGCACTTAAACTTACAATTTCTCTTTGCTGCTCTCTCTCTCTCTGAAGCTCCACATTGCATGTGCGAGTGGTTACAGAGAAGTGGTGTCTGTGCTACTGCAGAGCGGTGCAGATCCTCATCCTGCTGACAACAACTTTTGGACCCCTCTCCACCTGGCTGCTAAATATGGACAGGTAACCCACAGCTGCACAGAAAGCCAGCATGTTATGGACGTTGATTAAATAGTCCCCTAAGTTAAACTCAGTAATGAAAAGATGAGAAAAATTTGTGATAGATTATTCCAGAGAGAAGCGCGCCTCCCGTTATCTTATACACACTCTGATAAGCTGTTCTTCTTCGTTCAGTCGATCAGAAACCGGCACACAGGAGGACTCTGTGTATGAATTTGTTACAACAAATGCATACAGCACTCTAGATTAGCAGTTTAATGGCTTCTCTCAGAAGAGAGGAGATTGATTTCCAGATGAGATGGTGGAACAGGAAGGGAATAGGATCTGCTGGTTTGGGAGGGTTCCAGCTTTGAAGAGAGGAGACTGATCACATTCAGATCTTGCTGACCCAACTAGTTATTTAATTACATTCTGGGCTGTGTGCTTGGCTGCTGACAAAGAGATTTTATTCATTTGGTGTGTTGAGTCGTTCTGTCTTTGGTTTATCTGTTCTCACGCTATGTTTTTTTCCTGTGTGTTTTAAAAATATTTTTCTTTATCTCTGTGCCTTTTAGCCTTTCCCAGTTTCATTCACAGGGATCTTCTGATTTAGTTTTCTCTCTCCCCTCTTACTGAATTCCTCTCTGTAGTTGCTTCATGATCAGATTATAGCTATTCAGTAAGCTTAAATGTATAACTCCACATAATTCTCTTTTTAAATTGAATTTTAACCTTCTTCCATGTCTTTGTTTTTACAAAAGCCATGCTTTGTGTGTTTGTAAGTGTTCTATGTAATATGTAAGTATATTTGACTTAAGAGTGTCAGTGTGGAGGATTGGAAAATCGATTAGGTTTCCCTCGCAGTGCGTAATATCCTTAGCCATCAGCTCTTTACTGGTGCCAGTGCTTTCTTTCCTGCATACAAACTACTCCCAGAGCCTGCTTAACATTTACCTTCTGTTGTCTTCTTCTTATACTGGTTAGTGTGGCTGGGACGAGACTTTATGGCTGCAAATGTGTGCAAGTATCCAGCTAAGTAAATCGTTAGTTCTGCTAGTAAGAAGTTCTTCTGACACGAGTCCCAAGCAGACGATTTCTTTGTAAAGACTCGCTGGAAACTGTAACACCGACCGGTGCATTAGACCTAAAAACCCCATGTGGAGTGTGGTATTCACACTAGACTGACCCTTTAAGAAGATGTATGACCTTATTACTGTAGCTAATTAAGCTTACCTCTCTCGGTCTTGTGATAAGTTAGACCCTGGCTCTTGGCTTCCCTGATTTGACTCAGGGCTTTTCAACTTGTGTTCTCTCGAGGGAGACATTTTTAAATACTTTTGTGTTGGATTTTGCAACTAAGTGACAGGGTATTAAAATGCGGCGCTGCAGGGATTTGGATTAATTTATTCAGTTTTATAATGAAGTTACACGTGAAGGCTGTGGAAATATAGCAGCATCATGATTTTATATAACAGGTTCATTTTTCTGAAGGACTTTAATGTTAATGTCAGGTTTTGCATTGTGTGACAAATATTAAAGGGACATGTGGGCTTTTCCCCAAAACTACTCTGTCTGTGGGAATCTACATCACCACTGAGTTTGCCTTGTCCCTGCTGAACCGCCGTGTACTGATAGCCATTTCGTAGTGCTCCTTTAATCTTTGACCCACTCAGGAGTTCAGATCTCGTGGTGCTGCTGACGAGCTGTCGGTATTTATAGAGCGCGAGTGTCGCTGACGGCATTTGTGTACAGTAGAGACGCTGTAAACTGATTGCTGAACAGCTGTTGACATGGGTCAGAGCAAGTCTACAGAATGTGCTGAGTCACTTCCCCATGTACTTTGATGATGCCTTGTTGCTATGCAGTACTTCAAAGAATCTGAAATGTGAACTGTGACTTACAGAAAAGTATGTTGGTACATTTGGTATTGGAGATGCATGAAGTTGGGCAGTAGTATTGAATAAAATGATAAACATCAGCACTCCAGAGACCAAGATATCCTGACCTTTGGTAAATCGCAATTTGATTGTGTCATTTGTCAGACTCTTTTCACATTGTTGTTCCCAGGACAATCCCCAGACTTGGAAACCTCCTCTGGCCCTGCAGGAAACAAAACACAACTGCATTTATAAGCTTACAAAACTAACCTTGATGTGTAAAATCTATGGAGGGCCTTGTTATTGATTTCTTTTCTTTTCTTTACAAAGTAGAGGTCTAAAAGTTTCAACACTGCGCAAAATGTACAGAAGAGCAAAATGGGAAGACATTCACAGATCAATAAAAAATGTGTCTTCAAATTGTGGAACAATTTCAGAGTAATGTTCCTCAATGTAAAATTGTAGAGACTCATAATTGTCTCATGAATATCTCATAATCTACAGTACATAATATCATCAGAGGATTTAGAGGATTTGGAGAAAGCTCTGGGTGCAAGGAACAAGGCTGTAAATCAGTATTGGATGCCCGTGATCTTCAGCCCCTCAGACTGCACAGCATTAAAAACAGGCACGATTCTGTAATGGTAATCTCGGGGCTTCAGGAACAGTCTGTGAACACTGTTCAAAGTGCTATCCACAAATGCAGGTTAAAGCCCTATCATTGCGAAGAAGAAACCAAATGTGAGCGTGATTCAGAAACACTGATGTCTTCTCTGGGCCAAAGCTCATTTAAAGGCTTTACATTTTC